TGTTCCAGCCCCACTCCCTCCCTCCCCTCAGGAGGAGTTGATCTGGGGTTGTCCCCCCCCACAACCCTCCCTCCCCTTCCCCTTCCCCTTCCCCTTTCACCACAACAGACTTACCAGCTGGACTCGGCCATATCAGAAATTGGATCAGTATCAGCCAATATGCCTCCTTAAAAATCAACTATCGGTATCAGCCCCCAAAATGTCCATTGGTGCGCACCTACTTATGAAGATCCTAGTGTGATGGATCTCTAAACATCTTTTTGAATAATAGAAAAACTGTATTTGTGCTTTACTTGAAAAAATTCCTCTCCAAAAGAAATGAGGTCCACAGGTCCAATGACGAAGACACAGGATAAATGATTAACTTTCAGAATTTATTCATTGTCGACCATGATTAAAATTAAAATATTTCTCTATAGTAATTTTTAGATATTAATTGTAATAACCAATAGTAAACAAACCATTTTTTCACAAAATACAATTTAATTTTATAGTCCCCTGCTTAAAATAATTAAAACAACTCCACTTCTTTGATTGAAGCATAAACAGTTCTAGGAACCATTTTGACTTCCCTTTAGTTTTAACTGTTTTGTGATTTTTCTACTACCTTCCTAAAACAAGAAAATTATATACTGTAGTAAACTATTTATAATTTAACAGAGTTTGGTTAAATATTTCCAACTTTAATAAGAATTGTGTTTAAATGTAAGTTGAAGCATAACACAATTTGTGATTCACTGCACAGTGTTTACCGTTGTCCTCTGTACATTTTTTTAGAATTGTTACACCTATCAGCAAATTAAACTTTCGTGTCTGGAGCCATCAGACATTGAAGTCTGATGTTCTTCTGGGGGGTGCTGTCCTGGATATACATGAAACTTTAACGTCCAACAATATGAAACGTAAGTATGTTAAAATAAATATGTTAACATTATTTCCATGGAATTTGCCACAGTTGGTTTAAGATGTTGTGGTTAACTTTAGGAGCTCCAAATAAACTGCATTTTGACAGTAGAAACAATTATATCTGAAGTATAACTGTTGTTTTCTTTACTGACTAAATTCTATGGCTTCCTATTACAATTATACTGATTGCTTCTTTAAAATGAGTTGTGATGAGATGCTGTGTCATCTCTCGTAAAGCTCAGAAATAGCTTTTTTAGCCAAATCTGCCATCCTCCCACACTGCGAAAGAGCCATTCAGTACTGGAAAAATATCTCTAGAGTCCACATCACTGTTGTGCATAAGCTGAAGTTGTCTCTCTCTTGCTGTCTTTCTAAGGAGTGTGTATTTTGTCTTTCAAATGTCTGTATTGAAATGCTTGGTGACAGCTATTGGTATTATAATAGTGCAGAAAAGGCCAGTGCTTTGACAGAAGTGTATCTTCACTGCCAAAGTTTGGAGCAAGTTACCTTGAGAGCAGGTTGTCCATGTGGAGCACCAGATGTTTTCTTGTAATTCACTGAGCTTTGCTTAAAGACATTTCAGTAATACTTCCCCTTAGCTGTGTTCTGCCATGACTAGATGCACTGGCTTAACCAGTAAGTCATTTATCTTCATTGTATGACTTCAGAAAGTAGACTCCTCCAACCATTTAAGAGTAGATCCATCAGTATTACTGCAATCTTTCAGACTGTTTGCTTCCTCTGGTGGACCATATAGAGGGCAGTCAGTTAGTGTATGTTGGGCTGTCTGATTTCCTTTGACACATAGGCACAGGGGTGAATTTGTAAGGCACATTTTATGTTTGATTTTATTAAAATCTCCTTAGCCTGATTGCAGCCAATTCAGGTTTACTCATGGCTTCCATGAGAGTTTGACCAAGAGGGTGTGCGGATGGTAATTGTGTGTAGTTGTGTAGTGGGCTGCAGTTGTTATTCCATTGCTTCCCACCTTCTCTGGGGCCATGATGATAGTATACTGTCTCCTGCTTCCTCTATGATGTTTCTGGGTTTTCTGCTTCTAAGACAGTAGGGGTTTTCTGGTAAAGGTTTTCTGCTTCTTAGACGTTTCTGTGTTGGGTATATTTCAGTCATATCGTGTAGCGGATGGTCTTCCTGCTGGGGTTTGGTTGCCAAGTCAAGCAATATTCCAGACTTCTTGATGTTATGAGGGGGGGGATTCCTGCCAAGAAGAACATGTTTTCCCATTCTGCGTATACCAGGCAGCTACTTATTGTGCATAGTGCAGCATTCAGGGCACTATCCAGTTTGTGGGTGTGGGTGCTATTTGCCCATACAAGGAGGAAGTATTCTGCTGGTGCTTAAACCATGACTAGTGTAGTTCTTTTCAAGGTAGAGAAGTTGTCTCCCCATATTGTACTGGCTAGTTTCTTAATGGCTGCTGTCCCTGAAGTGACTTTGTGTCTCAACTCCAGGTGGTGGCAGGTTAGGCTTCTGTTTACAGTGACACCCAGGCAGGTTGGTGTCTTCTCAAAGGGTAACTCTTTCTCCCTCCACAACGACTCTTTTCTTGGCATTCACAGCATGATTGTTCAGGTGAAAAAGTGTTGAGGTGGTCTTCTGTATATTCAATTTCAGTTGCCACTGTTCTGGGTAGGAAGCTGAGTTCCATGGCATGGTTCAGTCTGGCCTCTATTGATGATATATTGTTACTGGTAGCAGCAAGTGCCAGGTCATCTGCATACATGTATTGGTTGATGTGGTGCTTATGTAGTCTGCTGTGTAGATGTTAAACAGGGTGGGAGCTAGGACAGAGCCTTGTGTTACTCCATTCATGAGTCTCTTGTAATGACTTGTCTTTCCGCATGATGTACTCAAGGTAAAGGAAAGATTTGAGATCATCCCCATGATGAAGTTAACCAGACTTACGTCTGGTAGTGTGGTAAGTAGCTTATACTGAAGGCTTTGGTGTCAGACAGTGCTGTAGGCTGTTGTAGGTCAACTAGAACCACTCAAAACTTTTTCTCAATTCTCAAAGTCTCTCTCAATATCAGTTGTAAGAGCTGCTACATGGTCACGGGTTGATCAGTTTCTTCTGAAACCTGCTTGCTCATGCAGCAGCCGTTGGTCAACAGTTGGTGTGATCCGGTTCAGGATAAGCCGCTTTAGGAGTTTATAGACCACTGATAGAAGTGATATGGGCCTGTAGCTCTTTGGGTCTGCTGGGTCTTTCCCTGGCTTCTGTATTGCGGTGATGTTGGCCTTGTGCCAGATTTTTGGTATCTTGCAATGATGCATGCATGTTGACAGAAAGCTGCATAGCCAGTCTTGGATTATAGGCCCAAGTTTGGTGAGGTGTTCAGGAAACTGCCAGTGCTGTGCTGGGGGCAAGGAACACCACTCCAGTGCAAGCCTGCCCAGCCACTTCTATCGCAGGGGCTCTGCACTGTGTGCCTGAATCTCCCACACTCACAGCGGAGAAGCCCCATGCTGGACTCTGTGGGGAAGCAGGGGGCAGGGCTTCCTCCACTCCTGGCAGAGTGTGGGGACCTGCATAGCAGGGAGCAGGGGAAGCAGCAGTCTCCTGTGCAGAGCTTTCCCCGCTGTGAGTGCTGAAGCTGCAGGTGCGCAGTTCAGAGCCCCAGCGATAAGACAGGCTCTGTTCCCTCCCCCCTGTGCAGCTCTGGCCAGAGCTGCTCCTGCGCTGGGCACAAGCGCCTTGACCTCCCCACATACTGCTGCTACCAGCAGTTGTGGCTGCCTGCCATGGGAGGAGTGCGGAAGGGTGGTCCCTACACCCACACCCTGCCCAGCTGAGCTCCGCACTCCCGCTGCCTCTCTGGGCACATGCTCCATGCTGCGCTCCCACTTCCACCTAGCTGCAATTCTACCCTCCACCAGCCCCTCTAGTTCCCTACCTGCCGCTCCAAGCAAGCAGGTTCTGGCTGCAGCAGGAGCCCTGCCCAGAAGCTGCTGGCTGGGCAGAGCCCTTCCACCCAAGAGGGTGGTAGCAAGGCCCAATAAGGCATGTTGGGGGCTTGTACACATGGGCACCTTGCTCCCACTCTCATGGGTGGAAGGGCTGGGTGGGGTGCAATTCATTGGGTGCTGCGTTGGGCACTGGAAGTGCCTGGCAGTCCGGATGTGGCCCGCAGGCCATATTTTTCCCACCCCTGAGCTAGAAACTGTAAAGTTCTGATGATTGCTGCAAAACTAGTCCTTTCTGTGTGCAAGCTGCATCACCTCTCAAACTTAGTTTGCTGTTTTTGATATGGAAGTGATACCAATTCAAAGGAATCATGAAAGGATTAATTATTATTTGGCAAGAGCTTAAGTAAAAATGATTAATATGTAAAGCTACAGTTAGACCTGATGTGTTTTCCCCTGTAGGTTTGACAATTTTTGCAATAAAATGTAAATTTTAGTGATTTCATAAACAGAGAAGCTGCTGATATCTTTTCCTTTTTTTTCCTTTTTCAGTTGAGCAGGTGGTTGTGACATTGCAGCTTGTCAGTGACAGAGATCCAGCAGAAGTTATAGGAGACTTATCTGTTTGTCTAGATGGGATGCAGGTAGATCCTGAGCTCCTAACTAATGGTGATTCTACAAATCTAAGAAGTGAGTAACAGTTATTTAAATTTACAGTATGCATAATCTGTACAATATGCTTATTTTAACTGAAAACGAGACAAAATTTTGTTTATAACACATACAGTAGCTTCTGTTGCACTCTTGCGAACAGTGAATGCTCCCAACATCTCTTTGTTTCTTTTGAGGTTTGCAGTTGTGATGGTCTCAAATAATCTTTCAGTATCCATTCCAGTTAGAGGTACACTGATGCATTGGTCTGATATTGGATTGGCACCAATATAAAGAAAAATTGCTATATCGGAAATCGTCCATATCAGGCTGAAAATGTGGCTATAAATGGCCCGCTCATGTGCACAGCCACAGCGCAGAACAGGCAGCAGGGAGCACAGCCCAGCAGCACGGAGAGCTGCCTCCCGCTGGTAAGTGGAAGGGGAGGGGGAAGGGAAGGAGCATGGTGGGGGGCAAATCAAGGTCCCTGCAGTGAGGGGGGTGTGGGGCTAGGGCAGGGGCTGGGGCAAGTGCTGCCCATCCAGGGCCGAGTGGGCACAGGACAGTGCCACGGCTTGTCCAGGGAGGCAAGGGAGTGGCTCCCCGCCACTGTGCACCACTCAGCCAGGAGCCGCTGGACGGCAGCTCATCCAGTGCTCACCCGCTCACCTGGTGGCTCCTGCCGCTGATCCTGCCACTTGTCCGAGAGGGCATGGGGACAGGTGTGCCCCTAGGTCTGTGCGGGATGGGCTGGGGCCAGGGCTACACCAAGCTCTTCCCGGCGGGGCTGTGCTGGGAAGGGGCTATGGAGAATTTGTAGCTGCAGCCCTTGGCACAATCCCAGCTCACCCCACCCCGTACAGACCCAGGGACACATGTGCCCCCTCCCCCCCCACCACACGCGCTCCCAGATGAATGGTGGGAGCTGCCGGGCAAGTGGGGGAGTACCAGACAAGCTACTTGACCAGCAGCACCCAGACAAGCGACGTGCAGCAGTGGAAGCCACTCCCCTGTCCCCGCAACCCCTAAGTGAGCTGTAGCACCGTCCCATGCCCGCCCTGACTGGGCAGCAGTTGTCCCAGCCCCATGTCTTCCTCACGGGCCTTGATTTCCCCCCCTTCCCCCTGCACCAGACTTACCAGCTGGAGGCAGCTCACCACGCTGCCAGGCTGGGTATCAGAAATAGGATTGGTATCAGTCAATATGCCTCCTTAAAAATCGGCTATTGGTACCAGCCGCAGAAATCTCTATCAGTGCACCCCTAATTTCAGTGCATTTGTCAAATTCAAACCTTTGAATTTTTTTGGCTTGCATGTTCATGTCTTTCTTTTTAGAAAGCTACAATAATTGTATTACTCACGACTGGATGTGCTACTTGCCTTATGCATCTGCTGTGCCTAGAATATTAATAAATTAAATGTTTTTCATTCTAAGTATCTAACCACTTAGTCTGTCAAACTTTTATTTATTTGTAGTTTCTAAAGGTTAACTGTTTAGGTGTTTTGAGTTTCTCTTCTATCATTTAATTATATTTTATCAATTCCTTTCTCTTCTCTCTCGACATTCCCTGCATTACTGACCTTTTTCTAAAGAGGCTGACACAAGACTTGGGGTTAGATTTACTTCAGACTGCTTAGAGCCTTCATTACATTGGCATAGATTGCGTAGAGATGCTGTGGAATCTCTATCCATGAAAGTTTCTAAAATCAGATTAGACAAACACCTGACTGGAATGATTTAAACAGGAATGATCCTGCCTTGAGGAGCGGGTTGAACTAAGTGACCTCTTGGGCTAAGTACAGGCAGTCAAAAAGCCCGAGGCTGAATTGATTCGGTCTTTGTAGGTTAGTCTAAACTGGAGAGATTAAATTGAGAAACACTGGACACAAATTCACTTTTGATTCAAGTAATGCAGCCGCATGCTTCCAGTGGCTCAGGACAAAAGCTGGACATACACTAGAGCCCAGTTCTCTGGCACATAGCCAGCATGGGCTGTGTATTCGCTTCCTTTTCCTGCTGCCCCAAAGGTGTGTGGGATTTGTGGTCCAGAATTACAACTGCAGGGTTGCTCATCACTTCCTCTTCCTGCTTCCAGGTGCCTCTGAGTTTTGTAGTCCACAGTTGCAACCAGCAGTAACTTTCAGTAAGTTTAGCAGGGTAGGGCAACTCTTTACTTGGGGCAAGGGGGGCTTAGCCAAGGGAAGGGGAGTTTACCTCTGCCCCCAGCCTCAGACCCTAGCTGGGGTTTGCCAGAGGGGGGGCAGTGCCTGCCTCCTTTCTCCTCCTCCCCCCCCTCCCCCCCCCAACCCTATTCTGCTGAAGCAGACAGCCCAGCCCAGCCCAGGGCTGGAAGGCATGCTGGGGGACTCTGATTTAGCTTAAACCCAGAAGGGGTCTGGGACAGAAGCTTCATAAACCAATTTGACCCAAATCGGTTAAGTCTGATTAAGTGAGATACTGCATTCTACCAGGTTTATCTTAAACCAGTTTCAGCCTTTTTGAAACTGGTTTATGTGCACAGAACTTCTGTTCTGTTACAGCTTAAAGTAGTTTACATGTAACTTTTGTCACTAGCCTTGAGGTCCCTACCAGCCCTATCTTTCTGTGATACTTTAAAGTGTGGAAGTGGAATCATGATTTGGAGCTTACAGATGTTACTGCAATATAACAACAGTGTAACCTCTTGTTCTTCGGTCTATGCCACAGGTTCCCAAACTTTTTCTTTACCAGCTGCCCACTTACCACTACCAGCATACATTTTATATTTAACCCCTTAAATGCCAATTACAGGAAACCCTCACTATTCACAGATTTGGCATTTGCGGATTCGAATATGTGGGAGCTTTGTTCTTGCTGCCACCAGGCTCCTGCAGCCACCCCATGCTTCCGCCACTGCCAGTGCAGCTGTGCCCCCCCAGACGCTGGGGGCACACATCGTTCATGACACAGTACAGTACATATTCACAGATTTCACCGTTCACAGGGATCTCTGGAATGTATCCCTCGCAAATGGCGAGGGTCTGCTATATTATCATGAAAATTAAATCTGCCATTACACAATTTCTCCCGCATATCCCATAGAGTCTTACATATCCCCAGGTATGCGTACCGCAGTTTGGGAACCCCTGCTGTATGCTAACCATCTCAGCTCCATATTACATCCAGTGCTGCTTTCATGTCAGAACTTCAACTCACCCCAACTTCTTCTACAATGTAGTTGTCAAGCATTAAGTTGATCTGTGGCATTATATCAAAGAAGTAATGCAGAATAAATTGAGTTGAATATCAAAACAACACAAAAAAAAAGTACCAAGTTGCTCATTTCATACTAATTTTTTTAAATATCTATTATATAAGTGTATCTCAAGTTTCTGTAGATTTTGCAGCCTGCCGTAGTACAGTGCTGCAGAATCTGGATAATACTTAACATACAGTATGCTGTGTCTTTGATATTCAGCAGATATAGATAATTTTTAATCTCTGTATAATTTTACTTTACAGTCATAGCCTTGCTAAAAATCTTTCAGTTTCCCCACTTTGTTATTGTTTATTCAAAGCAATAGCTGCTGTTCATGAAGGACTTATATTTAGTGCTTTCTTGAAAGAAGGCCAAAAGAGGGGATGCAAGCTGCATTCTCACTATGTTGTTGACCTTGTCAGCTGCCAGTAGCTGGAGTAAATTTTTTTTGAAGACTAAAAACCTTGAAGAATAAAAGCATTTACAGTTATATAAGAGAAAACAAATGATAATTTATTGTCAACACATGTCGAGGGCATAAGATTTCCCCCTGTTATGTTGCATAACACAGTATAAGAACATTATGAAAAGCTTATTCATCAAAGGAGTCCAACATTGGTTGCTGTAAGAGGCTATGTCATAGGCTAGGAGTGTCCACCTTTTGGCACTAGTGCCATAGGCACCCACTGTGTGTAGCACAGCAGATTTGGGAGAGGACAGGCAGCACAGCAGCAGATGGAGCAGGGAGCAGAAAGAGCAGCAGATTGGGCAGGGAAAACAGCTGGAATCAAAACAGCAGTAGACTGGACAGGGGAAAGAAATCAGAGTGGCACTTGGGGAGGGTGTGAGGCTGATTTAGGGTATACCTGCCAAAAAGTTTGGCTTCCACTGTTATAGACTAGATGGATGGCTAGTCTGTTCAAACATGGCAAATGTTTAGTGTGCTGCTTCCGCAAAAACAAACAAAAATATACAGAAAAGGAAGCAAACAGATGTCATGTTAATTTCAGTTTCCATTTAAATATTATAGAAAAACTGAGTCAGAGAATTAAGTCACCAACATTTTACCTGTTACTTCTGACCAGCTCCCTCACAAATGAAAATGAGTTTGGCCTCGCCCTTCTTCCCATTTAACCTGTTAATCAAAACAATTTTATAATTTGCTTGTATTAGAATTTTTTTTGTAGAAAGGCCAAAGACTGAAATTATATGGGATTTGCAGGGTAGAGTTGAGGGATGTTCATAGAATTATAGAAGGAAACTTGTATTGTCTCTTTCTGCACTACATTTGTTTTCAGCATGTGCTTTTACACTTTTGCTTTCCCAAGCACTGCACTCATCTACTAAATAAAGAAACATATGGTTGAAAAGAGGAATTAAAATAGGATAGAGAAATTAACATATTTTTTCAAACAGCATATCAGAAACAGCTTAAAAGAGGGGTTGGCAATGTTTTTTGGCAGTGCCAAAAACAACCACAGCCTTGACTTGTAAGATGTTGGCAAACCAGGGGCAGATGGCAGGGGAGCCACAAGGGGCCTGATTGTTCTTGTGGCAGTGCAGCCCAGCCCAGCCCTTTTTCCTGCCATCCGCCCCAGAGCGCACACACCAAGCAAAATGCCTTCCTGTGCCATGTTCTGGTGCACGTGCCAGGGGTTTCTTACCCCTGGCTTAAACCTGAAGTAGCAATAGAAGTGAATAAACTTTGCTGCTGGGTGATCATAAGATGAGAAGTTCAACCCAACACATGAAAGAATTTCTGAATGTGCTTTAGGAATTAGATATTAGCAGTTTTAGAAACATATTGCTGGAAGGGAACTCAGAAGGTCATCTAGTCCAAACTGCCTGCTCAAGGCAAGAAACAGCTTAGTCTAAACCATCCTACAAAAATGGCTTTCTGACTTCCACCTCAAGTTGCAGTGACAGATCCCACAGTCTCTCCAGGTAATCAGTTCCTGCATTTAGCCACTCTCATAGATGAAAAATTATTTTTAATATCCAACCTCAATTTCTTTTGCTGTAATTTAAGCCCAGTAGTTCTACTTCAGATGATACTGTAAAAATGACACCTCCCAACCGAGATTTGTTCTGTATGTGTTCAGATTCCGATCTGTTCACTTTAGAGATGAAAGGTGAAATCTCCATTTTTTCACTCTTTTAATCCAGCAGAGTTATGCAGCTAACATTTGAGAGAGTAATTATTTTCCATGTTATCTATAGAATTGTTTAAATACCCATCAGTCACACCTATGCCAGGTCCAATGAAGGAAAAAGGGAGTATTACTGTATTATTAACTACTATACCCCATTTTCCTTCACTGGGCTTGGCACAGGTATGATTTAGCCTCCACAACTTTTGTTATTATTGACATATGATGTAGATTGCTACAACTGGGCTGAAAGAAGTAGCATCTAGCATATTTGATTCAACAATCAGATTATGAACATGGAGCCCCATTTGAATTCTTTATCTCAGAGTACACTTTCACTATATAAAAATTGTCTGTCGCAGCACAGGGTAGATTTCCAAAACGGCCTTCACATGAAAATTCCACCTTTAAATCTCCACTTACTTACGGGTTTTTTTGTTTAGAAATGTGTGGAAGTATGATTTACAGTTGGTTCATTCTACTAGAGTAATGAGACTAGTGTTAAACTCTTAGATCTGAAAAGAATTTCTGCTTTCCAAAGAAAAATCAAAACCTGGGTTTGAAAGTGTGAAGACAAGGGGGAAAAACAGATCTCAACCCAACCTTAGACTTTATGCATAACTGTTCATGATAAATAAACCAGAAATACATATGAAAATAGAATCAGAACTCATGGTATAGGTGATATCTTTTATCTACTAGATATTTGCAAAAATGTTTCTTTATTTGCAAGCTGTTTGGGTACACAGTCCTCAGGCATAGGGGAATGCAAGGATTGTAAAATTTCTCCTAGATGGAAATGAGAATTCATATTTCACAGGAGAGCAGAAGATGTTGTAAGATCTCCTGTCTGGAAAAGTTCATTTTGTGCAAATTTGGCTCAGATAAAAGTTAGCAGTCTTGAATAGATGGGTTTAACATTTATTTTTCCTCTGTGTTTTTGTTGCATACAACTTCACATTATTTATCCTGCTTTACTGTATTCCTCTTCACTTGCTAATGTTGGAAGTGGATTCATTGGCTAAGATTCTAGATAACTGTTTTCTTTTTAGGTGTTTTACTTCAAAAAAACTTTCTTATACTCTTTGTAAAATGTATTAATGATTTAGTCTTTCACATAAGGCAAGCATATAATCAAAGATCCCTTTCTGTGCCTTAGAAAGTCACTTCAAGATTTTGGCAGAAGTCAGTCTTATTTTTGAAAGTTACTAGGTACAGGAAAAATAGATGTTATCTAAATTGTTGTATTTCACTGGTATGATTAAGAGGATTTGTTAAAGACCTTTTATAAAATGGAGAGAACTTTTAAGAGAGAGAGTCTTAAAATGTGGGCACCCCCTATTCCCCCCCAAAAAGAGGAAAAAGACAACTTACTGTTGAAATACAGACTTACACAGTATTGGCCAGTTTATCTTTTTTAGTGGATTGGACTACACAAAGATGTTAAGAGTTCTCTGTAGTTGTTGAGCTATAGATCCTGGATCTGTTAGCTCAGGTTCTACTTCGATTTTACATTTCCTCCTTGATAGAGATTTCTCCATAGACATTGAGTTACACTTTTATTGTGGATATTTTTCTCAAATGAGCCTTTTTCTTCCCAGTCTTGCTGTTGCTTCTTCTGTCTGATCCCAGGTTGATACCGTGTCAGTCTTACCCCATGCTTTAGGCCGGATCCAGACCCTAGGGCTCCTCACAAGCTTGATTGGTAAAGCAAGTGGTAGCTGCAGCAGCAAACTAAGCAGTGGCTGTTCCAAGGGGCTGCTGGGCCAGAACAGCTTTATCAGCACAGCCCTTGCTCACCCTCCTGCCACCAACAGCCATATTCAAAAGAGCTCTGGATACTGCAGAGGGCCTCAGGCCCCTGCTAAATCCACCCCTAAATTCTCTGGCCTTCCAGTACCAGAAGCTGGGTGGCACAGGCCATACATTTGTCATCCTTCATCTATACAGATAATTTGTGAAATCACACATTTAGTGTTAAAATTTCATTGCACCGTCAAATAAGTGATGTTGGGTTGTTGAGGAGTGAGCACTTGTTTAAATATAAATGTTTATGTAATCATGAAGGCACACTCATGTGCAAACAAATGGAATGAAGTTGTAGTTATGTAGGCCGCTTGCAGACGTTAAAAAATAAAAACGTTTTACTGGAAAAAGCAGCATGTTATTCTGACTCTGCTCCCCAGCATCTGTATAGATTGGGTGCTTCAGCAGGGCTTTTTGGTGCTTTTATCTAAAGTCGAGTCAGTCAGCTATTAAATAAAAGGGCCAAAAGAACCCCACTACAGTGCCCGATGTGTACAGACATTAGGGGAGCCAGATCCAACTAACGCACTGCCTCTTCTGGGCCTGCACTGGGCTCAGTTTAAAGTAAAGCACAGCTTTTTTTCTTTTTTAATGTCTGCAAAGTAGCCATACTGAGCACTATTCTCTATTTAAGATATTTTCTTTATTGGAATTACAGTTGTTTGCTTGTTTGGCCTGCTTAATTCATACTATTTTACATTTGGGTTGTTACATTCCTATACAACTCCTATTAACATCTTTTTTCTAATTCTATGAAAATCAAATATTTGTAATAAACATTTCAGTACTAGTAACTCAAAGTATCACAAGTTCTGTGTTTTGGTGTGCCATGTAAAACTGGCTCAAGAATTTAGGCTGGGCTCCTGTAATTCTGTTTGAGGCCAATAGGCATTGCTGTTGTGTTTAGAGATTGGCCACGTGCTACAGCTGCCTATAGTTCTTATTCCTGACTCGAAATAACCTATGGGGCAAAGGAAAAGGGACCAGGTTAGGATTGCACTGGAGAGCTAGCCCAGCCCAGCAAAGCAACAGCTCCAGCTCAAGGTTTGTCACCAAGGGAGGAATCCACAAAGCAGGAAGAAAACATTCTGGAAGATTCAGCTTTTTCCCGTGACTTCTAACCTACCCTCAGCAAGAGAATAAGTGAAGAGCAGAGTTGTTTGGAGGCAGAAGGCTGCTTGAGACTGTCATAGGGATCAGATAAAAAACAAAAATGATGTTTTCTTACCGTTTTTCACGTTGTATTGGGCAGTACTGCACAATACCAAACTCTCTTATGTGGTGTTACGCTTTGTGAGAAGAAAGTGTTACTGGTATTTTTTTCTTGCTTTTTACTAGAAAAAGCCTAAAATGTGACTAGAACATAGATTTGTGTGAGACATTTTTACAGCCACATAAGGAATGAACCTGAGTATTAAGAACTATTTTAGGTCTTGGAAGTTGCACTACATAACATTAAAATATTTCTTACCTTTTTTTCTTCTGTTTAAGGTCCCACACAGAATGATAGCTCCAGAACAAGAAATGAAACAAGGTATAGGACTTGGGTTTTTTTACTCACTTGTTCTTATACTGCTTATAGTTATTACAAATCTCAAAAACTATAATTTGTGATGAAAAAGAAAAAATCAGCAATTTGTAAGCAGCTAAGAAATACTTCTCAACATATTTAGTTAAGGCATCTTCTAAAATGTGAGTAGAACTTGGAAAACCTTACCCCTTTTGAGTTTAAGTGATATGTTATTTAGATGATATTATTTTACAGCATGAGTTTTTAAAATCTATTTATGGTACATTCAGAAAGTGCATCTACAAGCAATAGTTGTAAATTGAATATGTTTGTTATTTTAGTAAGTAGAGATGGACAGGCAGGAGGGGAAGAGGAGAGGAGTTGCACTTGATGTAAGAGCCATATGATTGCTCAGAGCTCAATATAAAGCTGAAGATAGGCCTGTTGAGTGTCCCTGGGTTAGGGTCAGAGTGGAAAGCAACAAGGGTGATGTCATGTTGGAGGTATGCTATAGACCACCAAACCAGGAGGAAGTGGTGGATGAGCGTTTCTTCAAACAGCTAGCAGAAGTTTCCCTATCACAGGCCCTGATTCTCATGGGGAACATTAGTCCCCCTGATATCTGCAGGGAGGGCAATACAGCATAATGCAGGCAATCCAGGAAACTTTTGGCCAGTGTTGGGGACAACCTCCTGGTACAAGTGTTGGAGCGACCAACTAGAGGCCATGCTCTTCCTGACCTGCTACTCACAAACAGGGAAGAATTGGTGGGGAATGTAGTAGTGGATGGCAATGTGGGCAGCATTGACCACAAGATAAGAGTTCAGGATCCTAAGGAAAGGAAGGATGGAGAGCAGTGGAGTAAGGACCCTGGACTTCAGAAAGTGCCAGAACAAACTGTCCGGAGGAACAGGAATACTAGCAAGTATGGCAGGAGACCAGCTTGGAACTCTTCAGTAAACTAAATCACAAAAAGGAAGCTTATAAGAAGTGGAAACTTGGACAAATAACTAGGGAAGAATGTAACAGCATTGCTTGGATATGCAGGGATAAAGTCAGGAAGGCCAAAGCGCAGTTAGAGTTGCAGCTAACAAGGGATGTTAAGGATAAGAAAGAAGAGTTTCTGCAAGTATGTCAATAGCAAAAGGAGGATCAGGGAAAGTGTGGGTCCCTTACTGAATGGGGGAGGCAGCTTTGTTTCATAGGTTCATAGTTCACAGGAGGGACCTGAACAGATCATGTAGCCTGACCCCCTGCCACAGCCAGGACTGAATGCTGGGTTCACAAGACCCCAGACAGGTGATCATCCAACCTCCTCTTGAATTTGCCCAAGGTAGGAGTGAGGACCACTTCCCTGGGAAGTTGGTTCCAGATTTTGGCCATGCTAACTGTAAAAAATTGCCTTCTGATCTCTAACGTAAATCTGTTCTCCATCAGCTTATTACCATTGTTCCTCGTTGC